GGCCAGCCCAGGGTAATCATGAAGGCTGTGCCGAGATTAATGAAATAATTGAGGCTTTCGGATGCTGTCTTCTGCCTCCAGCTAAAAATTGAGCCGGCAGAATTTCTCCCAGAATATGAACATGTGCGTTGCTGTCGCCATGGGGACTTAAATTGTGCTCTTCCCGTTTGCTTGGCAGTTTATTTATTTTGTACGTCTTATTGTTACCGCTACTCTGTTAAACTTATTTGTTTTCTTGATGACACTTTTTCATTTCCTAAGTATCTCTGTTGGTTTGTTTAATTTGATCTAGCTAATTATGTTATAGCAAATCGGTAATTCAATCTAATTCAAAGAGATTAAACTAATTCAATCTAATTTCTACTGTTGCTTTTAAAGCTGTGCATTTGCATAAAAATTAAAAGGAAAAATTAGAAATAGAAAAAAAATAGAAATGAAGCAGCTGGTATGTTTTCATATATTTTAAGAGGAGGAAAAATTGCACAAAACATTTTCCCAAGTAAAAAGCACAACATGGAGCCTGAAGTGGGAATATATCTACCGTGTTAGATGGAACGTATTCAAAGTAGTCGTGCTCTTTGATGTTTTGTTTCTTTTTTCATGATACACACGATGAGCAGGTTTAAACCCCTGAAAGTAACAGAACGACTCCCCCTTTTCAACAACTGTAATTCTATACGGGTACACATACTTTTCAACTCTGGCCGTGCACAGTGGACACAACTTAGACTTCGCGTTCCAGCGTTGACCCAATTGGCACTGTTTGGCTGTCAAGTGCGGCTTTTTTCGTCGCATGGAAAGTGTATTTACGATACCCTGACATTGCAAAGCGTGTCTTGCGCGCCGGAACCCAAATTAGATGCCGTATCTTTCTCCAATTTCGCCAACTGTGTGCGTAACATAAACCCCAATTTTCATTTGAAGGTCCGTCCTAGCCGGCAGTGTGGTGGGCTAATTGCATTTTCTTTGTCAGTCCCGACTCCTTAGTCTCGTTGCTTTGTGGTTGAAATCAGGGTAAAAGCGCCATAATGTTGTTTGCATGGAGGTTGAGCGAAGGATTTTTATGGTGATGCGGGGAGACGAATTTAGAAAGCTTTACTTTTTGCTGAGCACATTTCTGGTCGGGTTCGACCGATGTTATATCGACTGCAGGATCACACCAGCAAAGCTGTTGTTGTTCTCAAAGTTCATCTTATTTTCCCCGTCCATATTGTCCAGTCAAGGATACCCTAAAGGCACTGTAATCAAATTCTCCACTTTTCTTTCTTTTCTGACTTCAAATGATGCATTCTATAAGCGATTTTCTATCTGTCTACACAAATTTATACATGAATGATTTTGATGCAGGATTCTCAATTGGCCGACTCGGTTCTAACCTTTATACGGTTTTGGGGATGTTCAGTGCCATGCAAAAGTTCGCGAAAAGAAATTCTTATGCTTCACTGCCATCGTGCATTGTTCGCCAGCTCCAAAGTCAACCCCGGATATTTTCAAAGTGTGGTCACTGGCCAAGATGCTGCACCGGCTGCAGTGTGCTGTCCTCATAACAATGGTGTTATGATTACTTAGCAGCTAAGTCCAGCTAAGTGTTGGTAGACCTGCCCTTTCGTCTTTGCGTAGATATGCTGGGAAGAAATAATACACGGTTAAGAACTTGTCGAAAACCCAGTTTTCGTCCTCAGAAACCCAGTTCGTTCTTAAATTACTCAAAGAATGTTAGATGCTTTAGGTTTTATTCCTTTTGACATAATTCCAGCAAGGCCCAAATCCTTCGAAAATGTGTCTAGGCTCGCGTTTCGTATGAAATACTCTCGGAATTACACAGGGGAGATTTGAATGGCACTTTAATGGTAAATCATTAAGTGGCATTTGTCTGGTTTCCAGAAACTGCATCCTTCCTCAACTAAAGCGTTACCCAAGTCGAGGTCCTGATGAGAAAAATCCACACACGGAACGGTAGAGGCCGGATAACGACGACTCGCGTGGGGAGAACCAAGGTCTTCCATGCATTCATTTGACTGAAATCCTGGGTCTTAATTCAGCGTTCAGGTTTGGTGACAACAGCTGACGTCAAATGGAGATCCAAAGGGGGGGGGCTTATGGGGCCAAACCTGCCCCTGCTCTTACACAAAAAAATAAATTAATGATATATTAATATTGATGAAATAAAAAAGATGGCCCGACACCCCCTCCGCGAAAAAACCCTGGATTCCCCCGGAGATTCAAGCGAATCGACCATGAATAGTGTATTCCTGTTGGCTGTGTTCTGGCATTGTTTTGTTTGGCGCACCCCCAAATGTTAAATAGAAATATGGTTGTCAATCAATATTCAGACTCGACATTCACATTCGACAGAAATAAAAATCACCATGGGTTGTTAGATTTTACTTCAAACTGTACATTTTGTTTAATTTGTTCAACGAGGGTCGTATTTCCATTTAGTTACAGTGAAGGCGTTATTATCTCGTATTTTGATAGCTTATTGGTGAGAATTTATGAGTGCACTATAAAAGTCCTTTGCGTTGTTCTGACGCCAACCCTAGTTTTACCAGCCACCGGGATAGGAACAGGATGACTCAGACTGTGGGAAGTGGAAAAAGCAGACCTTATCGTTTCTTCAAACTCGTTGCCCATCATCAGAATGATACAAGACTAATCTGGCCAAAAGTTTGGTCATGAGTAACTCCCGAGTGTGACGGGAGGAAGGATTGGATGTGATCGCCTTGAAAATACTAGGTTCATGAAGTCCCTTTTATGTTGTTCTTACACGCTATTGCAAAGTACAGAAATACAAGATAATTGACGGTTAAGCAGCCTCCAGCAAACTTTCTCAACTTTTTCAGATATTACCTTTGATGTGTTGCCAAATTTACGTCATCACACACTGCGGTTGTGATGCCGAACCATGTATAAACCATACACCTTTATTTTTGACCAAGAAAAATCAATTGCCCGCCACACCAAAAGGGAATCCTACCGTTTCGGCCCGAAGCTCACCGAGATTGTTTTCGTGTAGGGCAGGCTCCTCTCCAGCGATTCATTACGCCGTTAGTTTCGCACCTTTTGCCAAGCCTATGTTTCAACTCAGATGTAATGTGTCACTTTTAAGGCGAGTGATGTCGCCCCGGAATCACCTCTTTCTGGCTCTGTGATGTATGATAGCAGTGTTGCGGAGATTGCTGTGGAGTTCCAAGGTGTGTAGCTGACGGCAAACGATGGAATCACGGGTGTCAAACTCGCATCTATGCTGTACTTAAAGATCCGCGATAAATTATCTTGGGGCAGAATTTAATTACACTTCTGCATTTTGTGCCCTTGGGGTATAATTACTTTGGGGTTGATCCATTTTCGCCCATTGATTCTCCATACCTTTATCATTATTTCAAAAACCGTTTGATCTAATTTTAACGTTGTTTTTGTTTTAACTTTACGTTCTTACAAAGTAGATAATTTTCCAATGAAAGCTCTAAAACGCATCTTGTTATGTCAGTAATCCAACCATCAGACATCATATGTTTAAGAGGGTCTTTGGGATTCTTGCTCACTGTGTTTCCATATTCATGAGAAAAACTGTGATGTTATTGCCGGCAACGAGCGAAAGAAGTAGGCACCAGAATTTTTGGTTTTAGTGTGGCTGATACAGGAAAAATTGGGCACAAATTGCTACCTTGAGGCTTATCAGTTGTCACAGAAATGTGTGATAACAGGTGGGATGAGTGCCTAAAGTGACGTCATACCTTCTGAACAGCGCCCTCGTATGTTAAGTAATGCATGCTTGGACATTGGTTGGTTGATTGGCTGCGTTGGGTCCAACAGGGTCATGCAGTCCACATTTTGGCCTGCTTCTAATAGGGTTGTCATCCCTCCCGCCATCCAAGCCCCGCCTCTGCTCCAGCGCCCTCGTAGACGAGTCTTTACCACTCCACCCGCTCCTCAAAGTTCCACTGCACTCCCTGACCAGGGATCCTAAACTCTCAAATTTGCAATTCTTCAATGCGATAGCAAAATTCTCCTCTGTTTTTCATACACTTAAGAGGCCTAGCCTCTTGCTTGAAAATTTGTCAGTGTAAAATTTCTGTAACTGCACCTTTAAACCCATGGTAATTTGGGGAAACCAACCTGGAAAGCTTTTTATACCGCATGTCAGACCTGCCTGGTCAACAAAAGTGCACGAAGTACTAGACAAGGCTTCTACTGCGCGTCAGTGTGGAGCTGTTTCTTCTGGCAGTTACCTCTGTACACATGCAACATTGTAATTTAGTAATCGTCTTCACTAAATTTGGATAGTAGCTGTAAAATAATTAATCAAAAAAGCACCTGATGATAACTATGATTGAAATTTGCAATGCAGCCGTTAATGGAGAAATTGAACAAGTGTATTTATCGACTCCTACTTCATGAAAATGACAACCAGTAGATAAGAGTAAGATGAGAGAAAGGTCTTTCCAAAAATGGTTTTTCATTTATCATAAATCTTCCATTTTTCCCCGGTGAAAATAATGAAGGCAAATCGACAAATACAACATAGATGCTTCTAGACTGACCGCGCAATATGCAAACTGTGTCTTTTTACTAGTAACTGTGTATGCTCGTTGTAGATAACAGAAGGGTGTATTGACCAATCACAAGAAGTTAATCAAAAACACGTGACACACTAGACTTCAGCCATTCCTAAACATCTATGTATCACCGCTTGACTTTTTAAATCATGACCAGTCACCCTTTCATTTGTTAATGAATCGGTTTCCTCGATGACCTTGACCGCAAAAATGCTACCCTGGAATTCCCACCTCTTTCTGAGACGGCATTCGGTTTCGAAAATGGATTACAAATTGATCACAAATACAAAAACCCATGTTTTATACCGTTGCCAGTTTGTAATTAAGATACTCAGATTTTATCAACATGTTGATGCCTCTGTCTTGATTTTAAGGACTCCTAACGACCCTACCCACCCTCACCCCCACCCACTCAAGAGCAGGAACTCGCGTGGGTGATAAGCCCCTGACCGATGATCCTCTATAAAAACTTGAAAGCCATCAGCGAAAAAGCAAACTGCCCTTGCTTGTGGCACAGAGCTTTGCGAAATAGCTGCTCCATTGGAGCGCACACGAAAAGATCTCTCCTCGTTTTCATTAGACTCGCTCTCCAGCCGAACACATCTCCGTCCCCTTCCAACCTTACACCACGCAAGAAGCACATTGGCGTTGTTCGCGCATCGCGCATCACCGGTGGTACCCACACAACACAATTTAACGCTCTGGCATCTGTTTCTCTCTCTTTTTCCCCCTTGTTTGCAAGAAGGAGGAACTCAGGTCCCGCGATAGCGTGGGACGAACCACATCTGCTTTGACGCCCTGCCGCACAGTCACGCCGTATTTCACCAGAACCCACCAGTCAAGGGCTCCGGTTTAGCACATCCGGCCAGTCGCAGTCGATATCGGTACCACTCTCTCGTTTCTTCACGCCTCCCAATCTTCGGTCGATTTTCTGGCCGACACGATTTGGCTCGCCACCTTGCACGTTGCCGGTGTGTACGCGTTTGAAACCCTCTCTGGCAAATTTACGGTGACTGTGCCGTGGCTGGCTGTGGACTTTTTTCTTGACTTCGCGCAGAGACAAGAGACTTGATTCCGAATTGGCAGATCAGTTTAGAATGGGGACGAACGTTTGTGTGCTTGTCCTACTGTTGATGGCGATGATGACTGTTGTGTACTGTACTAAAGGTAAGAAGCTCTTTCTCTTCTGAGCTAATTACTATTTTATAGTGTGATAGAGTCGCCATACTGTGACCATGTTACCGACTAGAATTGACTTGTGGAGGAAAATGTGATATTATTTGGATGTCCCGCACAATACAAAGTGCCAGATTCTTTGTTGAGTAAGTCTTTGTTGAATGTGTTTTGAAGAACCATTATGAACCTACCATAGGTAATGTCAGAAGAAATAAGAGGAAAATGAAAGAATCAAAACTTGCTTTCTTTCAACGGTCTGTTTACTTCGACGCGTGGATAGTGATGGAGTATGATTAAATAAGAAATGTTGCCTTGCAAATCGCAGTAATGGCGTTTTTTCTTAAGTGGTATTTTTTCCAATTAAATGGAGGTTCTTTGAACCGTGTTTGATTATAAGGACCAAGGCAGATCCAACGGAAGCTATCCCCCCGAGCCATTTTTCATTTAATGACGAAACGTGCATTTTGTCGTCTTATTCCTCTCCTTTCCTTCAAAAAGTATGTAAAATGTCCAAAAATGTAGCTTCATCCACAAGAGGTTACATCAAAATGTTTTCATGCATACCACCCCCCCCAAAGAAAACAAGTTTGGCCCCCAAAAATTGGTTTTGGATCCACCCCTGGTAAGGACGGGATTCTTCTCATCACTTACTGAAAAACAAACAGCCTCGACAGGGATGCAGGCCAAATAATGCCAAGTGCTTGTAGTTCAGTGTGTAGAGTGGGTTGAAATGTTATTAGGTACAAGTTGCCTAGACCCGAAACACTTTAATCTTGCTCCGCTTCGCCGACAGGTTGTACAGTTGTACAGTATTGATCAGGGCATAATTGAATCGAGATCCAAGGCCGAACAAAGCCACGACGGGAAATATCTTGGTATTCCATCTTGCGAGCCAGCGTGGTTATTTCATCTTGCTCTGAGCTGATCAACTCCGTGATGCGCATATTAAACGCGCAATTTCCCGTAGACAGTTCACCAAGGATGAGCAACGAATTCCCGTCGCGGGTTCTTCGCCTATTTACACATAGGCGGGTGTCACACGGTGTACTTATGATATAAGTTTTGTGAACATTTTCATGTCTAGTCAATCGTCTTTCAAAGTTACGTCTTCTTCAAAATACATTAAAAACTTTGTAAGAATGACACGCCAATGAAATGCGACGGCCACCTCGTCTCAAGCTTGCTGTAGATTCTGTGCTTCGTCCTCATTTATCTCTTATGCGAACTTAGAATAGGTTTGGTCTCCTGTATCTTTCACCTTTTGCTTTGGGCCCAAAAATCGTCATTGGCGTAACGAGGGTTTAAATCTCCAGGGCTCAAGGGTTGCATTGATTTTGGAAGGGGCACAGCTTGCTTTTAGGTGCATTGGGGGTGCACCCTGATGCAGGCGTGTAAAATACAAAATGTTCAAACGGGTAACCTAAGGGTTGACCTATATCTAGATAAGGGAAGCAGGTGCCCACTGTAGTTACCCCGTGGTTACATAAGTGGGAAAGATCTAGTGACGGGGGGGGGCAGAAGCAAAAGGCACCACTGTCGGTCGAGTTATTGAAAGTGATATCTCGGTTGTGCTAGCGAACCTGCCAGAGATTGCTGGCAGTGTTTCAGATAAGAACCCCCATCATCCCAAGCAGCAACATCCACATGAAGCATGGGGATGATTAGTAATAAGCATTCCACAGCACTTGTGAATCTGCTCCATTCCACTTGGCTCTGTTTGCTTTGACAGTGACCTGCCGACAATGATACGAAACAATGTAGAAAGTGATTCATCCGCCAATGCGGGAAACAAGCCACTGCACTTCTCGTCTTGCTTAAATTGCTACCCCTTGAAACTGTCCGCGACGCCGTCCTAAAAATTCTCAAGAGTTGTCGAACGATGTTATCAGTTACAACTGGATGTTTCATAAGACAAAGGCCCAGTAAACTAACGCGTGGCGAAATAAGGCATTTAGATGCTAATGGTAACGTTGAAAAGCAAACAGCAGCGACGCTGCAAAGTACAGTTCACCAAAATACCAATTTCCGGACTGCAAGCGAACCATTGTGTTGAATTAATTCTCAAATCCTACTGGAAATGTAATGGGTCAGCCTCATTTTTCCGCCGCCTCTGACTGTTGTTTTTTGTTGTGGTCCAGTGAAGTATAGTAAGGCTGGCTCATACAGGCAAACATTTCATAGGTATGTTATCAGCCTATTTAAAAAAAACAAATTACCATTGCGTGATGTTTATTTCCGTACTTTTAATTTATTCTTTAAAATATTTAGAACCCATAAAATCATACATTTTTACCTTAAAACAGCCGTCTCAAAGCTGGCGACGGGATTTCATTCCTCCCCATCTAAAGACTTCGGCTGTCCCATGCCTGATCTTTCCGAAACTTGGGATGTATTTAAAGACATTCATTATCGCTACAAATATGACGTTTGAACAATGTCCAATGCATGCGGTTTGTAACGGTCATTTGAAGTTTGTGGCCGAGTGTGTCATCACACGTGCATTGAACACGTCAGTAGGAAACGGCGATTTTTTTTACTGAACTGTCTTGGCAAACTTCGCTTTGCAAAGAGCGGTAAGTCTGATTTTCAACGATATTGGATTAAAAATGACCACAAGACATGACTGAACAAAAAATCTCCTGAAGGCTCGGCGCGTGAATGAAATGCACTTGTAACGACACAGGAGAAAATAATGTTTCACATTTCAGTGGAGTACGTTAACTATGTGGAGGGGGGGCATCTCTCGTTGGAGTCATGTCTCCTTTACTCATACCTAAGTTCCTTGACTGCACGCTTTACTGTAATATGCTCACAAACCGTTACCCAATCCATGAAGTACCCTCTCTACACAACAAGGACCCCTAAGTTCTCTTTCCCCGCAAATTGGGACACTACTTAAGCCGTCGATTTGTTTTCTGAGTGTACAAGTTTATCGATATCCTGCTATATGAACGGAAAACATGGTCGCCTAAAACTCTCAAAACGACGTGTTTGATATACCAGAACGTCTTTGACAGAAACTGTACCTGTCCTTAACACTTACGCTTATACTGTAGGCAAATGGATGACCCGTAAAGAAATCATTAGCGGTGCGTTAGTAAACTACAGTTTGGCAAACACAATTTCTAGGCCAGCCCAATATCATTGTTTACACTCATGCACTTTTCTTTTCATTGCAAAAATTGTTTAGGTCGGGGAAACATTTTAGGCAATTCAAGCCTCTTTTGGTTTATATCCTGAACAATCTTCTATTTAGGATGGCATTATCTTCAAAGGGGATGGTTTATCATCCGTCCACAGAAAGACAGATCTTCCAAAGTAACTGTATCAAAGAAGTATTATTTGAAGTGTCTTTCGGCGGCTGTTTTTAGAGAAGTTTATTGTAACTGATCACAAATGTCAACAAATGTCAATAACATGGAATGAGGGGGGAAAATCTGCTATTAAAAAGAATTCGTTATAACATTTATAAGAAACTTCCAGGACCTATGAAGCGCCCCAATTGAGCATGGACCACTTTATACTGAAATGCTATCGCTACTTAAAAATCAAAGGCATTTCCGCTCGTAAATGATGAAATCTTGGCTTCTGTCGAACTCTGTAACTTGGGATTAACCACCCTCAGCAATTATAGCTGGTAAATTTGCTTCAGGGGACTCGCGGGAGAAACTCCAAAAGTTGGCCATATGCCAAATAATGAAGATTTCGCCACAAAACCGGTTGGTTGCCAAAATATTCAGTACATACAAGCATTAAGAAAGTTTTGTAAGCATTAATAGCGCAGTCACATTCCTTTTCTTGCGGTTAAAAGAAAGAGCGATTTTATGTGAGAGTAGTAAAATGCTCGCAATATTTTTTTATACATTATGGGGGGGGGTGGGAGACAGTTAGCATGGGAGTGTTGCTCGCTATCGCCGTAATGTCCATTCAGTTGATGGATTGAACGAGTTTTACTGATAGTTCAGTGTGTGTATTGAAAAGCCACCCTTCAAGCAGAGGGGAACCTATATACAACCGTGCTTAATAATCGTCTCATTTTATTCTACACAGATCGCCAACCAAGAGGGTGCAATGCCATCTGCATGTTGAAGTCATATACACATCCGGGTGAGTTCCCAGATCTACAGCTAGCAGCGAATTCCCACTGCCAGTCAAGGGCAGATCCAGAACCAAATTTTCGGGGGGGGCAAAATTTTGAAAATGTTATGCAACCTTTTATGGCTTCTCTGAAGAATGAGGCTACAGTGAGGTTCTTTTTACACACTTTTCAAATGCTTTTAGAAGGAAGGGAAAGGAAATCGCCTTTCTCTCATTAATTATGTTTTCCTTGGGGGCATGGCCTCCATTGCCCTCCGTCGCATCCATCCTTGGCCTAATGGAGCTAATTATTTGCCTATCAGTCGGAAGGCTGGGCTTGTTAGGCGATAAGTGGCTACAAATTGAGTTTTCATATGACGTTGACTGACCGTCGATCGGGGGTGGTAGTAGTCTGGTTGCCAGACAAAAAGATTCCGACTATTTTGGAGAATCGTCAGGTCCAGTAGCCGCTTTGGTGAATTCCTCTTAAATTGTCCAAATCTTCCGAAATCCATTTCGATGATCAGGCGTGAGCAAATTGCTTCTCTTTATACATTTCACCGCATGCAGCATTATTCTTTTTAGTACTCTTCACTCCAGCACAACTTTGTTTAAAATAAAACTGCCGCATGCACGCTGTACATCTGAAACAGTATGGACATTAAGTCCAAATGATGTAAATAAAAAGATATGATATCCAGAATGTGACATACAGGAAATGGGAATGCTTTTTTATAGCCAGTGCAAGTTCGCCATAGCTATACGTACAGGTCAACGTGTACGTAAATGTGTACACGTCAGTGCTTGTTGACCTTGGCAGAACCATTGGCACGTAAACAATTCCTAAAATTTAATGAAATATAGGCCCGGGTCTAACTCTCAGATATGATCATGCTCAAACGTCTTGTAGCCGCTTCTTGTTTGCATCTCAACGAGATGAGTTATCGAGTAGTCAACTCGATCCGGGGGAAATCTTGGAGTAGAAGACCTGGCCGTCAAAGCTTTCTCAAATTGTTGTCGGTCAAGGTGTTGATATGTCTTGGCAAGACAAGTTCAATTGTCATTTGGGCAGGGAATCAGTGCATGAATCTCTGGTCCATTGTTGGTTTAAGTACTTGGACGCTTATGCGTGTAGTACTGATGGCGTGCGATGACACAGTGGTTTTCAACATCTATATTCAGTTCTGGAACAATATCATGGAGCTGTCGAGCGCAGGTCTTAGTTAAGCACAGAAAATATGTGCTGAAAAAACTGGTAACCACCCAAATTGTAATGTATACACAACTGGAATACTCGCGCTTGTTGGTTCACGAGCTGGTTCCGAAGATGCGCTAATGCCTTTTACGCGCACTCTCATGTGTGTAAAAAGCATTAGCGCGAGTACCTGTGCGTGAACCAACGCGCGCGCGTACTCCATTCGTTTGTACGGCATCAACTGGTTCGAAATGACGTCACACTTCGGCACTCTATAGGGTACCGAAGTGGCTGTGTTGTATTTGAGTCCATCACAAGTCCAGTCATACGCAACAGGGTGAACAATGACAATGCAATGATTTGTCAGTTCATTTGAATAACTCCTAGATCGGCTTAAGAATGACTTGTGATGGATTTACAGAGACTTACGGGGATTTTTGATGGACTCGTGTACAACACTGTGAAGTGGGACAACATTTGAACAAGGAACTTCAGTGCCAGCGCATGGAGTACGCGCACGTCAGTTTACGCGCTAATGCCTTTTACACAAATAATTGTGCGCGTGACGTATTAACTTTGGTATCACCACATACGCGTACAGAATTCGTTTGCACTACACTTTCTGGTTAAAATGGTGTAACACTTAGGTATTCTAAATTGTCTGAACTAACGTGAGGAAAACAAGGGGGTCCTTTCTTTGCACTGCTGACCATCGTACAGCAAAAAGTATTTTGTGTCTCCAACATTTTGAAAAAAGTGTGTTAAGTATTTTGAGTCACAGAGTAAAACGATAAGGAACAGTAAGTTTTTTATGAGTTAACCCAAGTAAATTAAAGAAATACAAAATGTCATATAACTTAAAGACAGGACAATTACAGACAGGATAATTGATGATTGGAGTAAAGTTCAACAGGCTACAGGAAGACGACCATTAATAAGCCATCTCTTACATCTACCTCCGTCATGAAATTAATATTTGTTGACAGTTAAAGCTAGAATGATTTATTGATATTGAACTCATGAAAATACACCGTATGATAATATCCATCAAAAAGCCAATAATTAAGGGGCATGACACATTCCGAAGTTTAATGTTTATGGCGCTACATGAAAATTGGAACAGCCTGTCAAAAGTAAAAAACCAAAAAAGCTTGCCACGCTGCTTCAGTACTTGTCCTTTAGATGAACATTTCAAAGAATTCTTTTTCTCAGGTACGTAGTCAAGGGGTCTGTTTGTTTCACACGGATTTTTATCCCGATAGTGATCCTAACGCTGGTCCGCACCATCCATTAGGCAAGTTTTGATGTCCGTATACCAACGACGGATCACGGCCAAGGTGAACGCGGTCAACATTTCTGTGCTTTACTAGGCAAAATGCGGACTATCACTGTGTCTGCATGATCATCCATGCGAAGAAATATTAGCACTTAAGAAAAGGAAGTCAAAGAAAAGAAAAACTTGTGCCTTAGCAGTTTAAAGTGCAGATCTCTTGGAAAAAATAGACATTTAGAGTGCGCATGTGCAGATATTAAAAGCTTCAATCGTAAAGAACGCCCTCTAGTATTAGATTACCCCCCACGCAATATTTTGAATGGCCACCGTCTGGAGAATTTCAGGGGTCTCCCGATCTCATCTCCCGTGGTGAAAACCGATCTACTCCCTTGCCCATTCACGTAGTGTTCCCTCGCTGGAGGGGTAAAAGTGATACTCCACATAAATATTACTTTGGGTTTTTACAACGAAAACCACCCCTTAAGTTGCTTAGTAGCCCGCCAAAGAAGCTTTAACAAATCAACCTCCATATTGCGTCCATAGTTCGTTTTATTGTGAAATCAGTGACAGTGCATGCTTGACAGTGCATTATTCCCCGCCGGGACGGTAATCTCGGAATCGATGAGATGACTACAATCCCAAGTTGATGTTCACTTTACCCTGCAAGTTAGTACGGCGTTAATGTTGTACTTACTGGTTTTTTAGTCGACCCTATACCCTTGGAGGAGTCGATATCTGTGCTTCACAGCACTGCCTCATCGTATACGAACCATTATCACTCTATCGTCACCCGAGGCAGAGGTATAGACGGCCTGATAATGCGCCAGTGGCGACGTGAACCACGACATGATCTTCTCTACGTCTTAACGGGTTTCCCGCCGGTGTCCCCCGTCGAATTCCAGTGGTGTTACCAGAAAATCTCTACTTTTGGCTATTATTTCAAAAGAAAAAATCCGCGGGGCATGTTGGCTTTTCGTTCCCCTCCTCAAAGGTATTGATCTTTCGCCGTGCCGGGCCGACGAGTTGGTCAACAAAACGGAGAGGTTGTGGTGAAACAAAAGAGGTTTTGCTGCAATTCACTGAAAGACCTAAAAAGGGTGTGTGTGCCAGGACGATAAGAAACACGTACTCCCGAGAGAGACTGCGTCTGTCTCACTGAGAAGTGCTCGGATCGTGGGTCGATTGTCACAAGAAATCTACAGTGTATTTGCTGAGCACTTCTGCACTTAAAGTTTGTGATCGCTTCCACAACTGGCTGCATTTTTTTCTGAGGCCGAATGTCAGTGTTTAATACGACAGAAAGGTGTTTTACGAGGATGCTTGATAACGCTGCAGAATGAGATCGCGATCATTGTATACGCATCTTGATCATTACAGTTGTGTATTGAATCAAATAGCAATTAAATGTAATCTAATATGTCTAAGGTGTGGATAACATTTGATCGCTCTCCTGAAACCACTTTTAACGTAGATCCATTTCAAATTAAATCACGCGGGGAAATGTTTGAAATCGTACGACAACCAATGTAGTCAATATTATGCGCTCAAGTGGCGCATTTCATTTCCTTCTTCACAGGGCCAACAACATAAATTCAATTGTGGAACACATATTGGGTTACTTTCTACACTTAATTATAAGACTTTTTTGTTAAGTCCTGTCGAAAAGTACATCTTTTGAACATATACAATCTTCCATGCTTCTCCCGACAAAATGTTGCTTGATATCATGTTAGGTTAGGAAGACGATGCTCATTTTAGAGATTTTCTCGTTGAATAGCCTTTATTCGTGCGAAAATATAAACGTCAACGAATCAAGAAAAATGGAGACAGAAAAGTGTTCAAAATTATTGTAAATTATTTCGTTGCAATAGCTGTTACAATAAAGATTTCTGCCCAAAAGGATGTCACACTTTACTTGAGCAGAAAAATCTCAAATACACCGAAATGCACCGGCTCATTGAATTTGGTAAAAGTGATACTGAAAGATACGATGAATATCGGGAAGGAAGCATGCAAAAGGACTGTATTTGAAAAGTGACATTCCTTGGGAAGGAAGGAAGGAAGGAGAGCGACACTGTGTTTACAAGAATATCAATCCTCAATGTGCGACCTAATCTCCAGGTGCATCTTCTTTGTATTGCCGGTGATAGAAGTGAGCATACTTCCATTCACATTTTGTACGTCCAGCTTTTTTTCTCCTTTTAATCAATCCGTTCGTGTGGGACGCAGCATACTCACTCCTAATACTGACGTGGTGACAGGTTGACATCTACTGTCTTTGTCGGCTCGCCTCGTCACATGAGCCAGAGGTTGCCTGTTCTTGGGATGTTTTCAGCTCCGATCAATAAGCTGCTCCAGAGTCACATTCTTGGGTACGCACCATGGATTCTGATGGGCGAGATTTACTACATGGTAAAATTAAACCCGGCAATTTTCCGCCCTGCGTGCGTAGTAAGCTGGGTAAGAAGGCTACACGGCAATGTTGTCCTTATAGCTCTTGGGTTTAATTTATTTATTTTTTCAATCTTCAGGGGAAATTAAAGCTTTTGCACGACCTTCCTG